ATATACATGAAAACAAAGAAAACACTCTCTAAAAAGAACTCCCCAGATTCACTCTGACGTGCACTTACACACACCTGGAGGTGACACCGGGGGTGAGGGGGGGGGCTTCCCCACTCAAGACGTGCTGAAAACAGATGCTGCAGCTCGGACTAAACCAAATTAAACCAAACCTGGCAGAAGGGAAAGCCCTTTTTCAAAATGTCACACAAAGAGCAAAGGTCGCCTGAACTACTTCCTGTGACCTTTTCAAAGTAAAGGAGAAAGACCAGACCTTACATCACACTGTCAGTGTGTGTGTGTTTGTGTTTGTTTCCAGCTGCCTTCCTCCAACACTGTGGTCCGGACTGTCCACTCAAAGACTTAACTTTTACACCAGTGTGAAACTGACAAACACCGTGGAGGGGCTTCGAGGCCAAACGTACGTGGATTTAAAGATGTGCCGTTCCTCATGAAGAAGCACAGAACATCCACACATGCCAACACTGTCGTCCCCAGTATAGCCTCCGTGTAATCCCCCGGTATTTACCCCACAGATGTCTCCTAATCCAGCACCCCTGACTCTATTTATCTCAGTGACATCACCGCAGTGAGCTCCACAGTCACTAACTTTTTTTTTTTTTTTTTAAAAAAGGAAAAGAAAGAAGGGAGGAAAAAAACGGCCAGTTCTGGCTGTGGCTTTGGTTTGGACTTTCGAGACGCCTCTTGAAAACAAATAAAGCAGTCGCTGGAAAAAAAAAACAGGAACTGATGTGAAAACAACAGGAGGCGAGTGTGGAATAAACACAGACGACTTTCTTTTTCACCAACCTCTAAAAACACAACGTCAACACCCATCCTTCAGAGCTCATTATTACCCCTCCGGGTCACGACTGTCGTCTGGTTCTAAAGTGTTTGTCCAGCGTCGCTGCTCTGGCTCGTTTCAACATTTCCCCTCGTGTCTTTGTCATCATTAGCGTCACGATCCAGAGTCGTTAAACTGTGGCGATCATAACATCCAGCAAATGGGAAGTTGCTACACTTTTTCAAATCTCCTGCGTGTCTGTGTGTTCTCTTCTTCTTGATCAATGATGTCATTTGGAAAGGCTTAACGGCCCGGATTAAAAAGCTGAACGGGCCCCATCCGGCCCCCGGGCCTTGGTTTGCCCACGCCTGAGCTAGGGTCAGTGAAACAGGTCCTGCCTGTCTGCTCATCACTGCACCTCAGGCTGAAGGTACATGCCTGACACACAGACGCTACGTCGCTCTGTGACCACCGAGGTGGTCTAGGATTACACAAGCAGACGGAACGGGAGCAGCTAAGCTACGGTCGCAGATCTGGGATTAGTGCTGCAACATTGTACAAACCCTGTACTTTCCAGTGCACTTAAAAAAAGTCTGTCACCAAAAACAGATCTGATTCATCTTCAAATTTAAATCTGACCCTCGGTCTAGGTGGTTCAGTAAAAAAAAAAATTTTAACACTTGTGTTCAAACATTTGCAGCATCCTCTGCAAACTTGTCTTCAGATGCATCGTTTGACACTTTAAGAAAACAGCGCCACCAACTCCAAGCCCCCAGTGTTTGTTCACTGCAACCACCAAACTGAAAATAACAGTGAGTCAAACTAAGGTTGGCAAAACACAGGGTTCACAGCCGGAGACCAACCACACAAAACATGAAGTGGGTTTTTTTTCTCCCATCTGT